AGCAGACCTCAAGTGATCCTTCCTTCCTTCCTTTTGAACGCTCTTTCCAGGGACGTTAAGTCAGGCACTTCTGCTTGCCCTGTGCATGAGCTCTACCCGTCCTCGCAGCCACCTGAGAGAAATGCAGGGGTTTGTAGTAAGTGGTCATTTGGGAAGAGAGGTGAGTGCTGACAGGCTGTGCATGGAGCACGGTGTCGGCAGTGTCTCTTACAAGAGAGGATAGGTTTGAGCAGAAGAAAATTTTGTTTGTAGAGTCTGAAACCTAACCAAGGGTCCCTGGGCACCCTGCCAGGATGGAGCTAAGAGCACTGGTCTACTCCGACTTCACAACTGTTTTTGCAAGAAAGAACCGGCATTCTGGAGAAGCGAGGCAGGAAGGGAGACCCCTCCTGGGCATCCTGTACAGCTGGAAGAGGACCCTGCACAAAGCAGCTTAACTGAGGAATCAACAGAAGGGAGTAGGGACATGGAGTTTCCCTCTTCCGGCAGGTTACACACTGACTTTTCTGAGCATCTAAAGCTCCAGAGAGTGGGCGCTCAGAAAGAAATTGGCTGGATGGCATTGCCACTGTGCCTTTGGTGGCAACGGTGGTCGGAAGCAGTCTTGGCAGACTCCCAAGGGCCTCAGGGAATGGGCTCGAATGGCCAGAGGGGGCCAGAGCAGGACAGGGGAGGGGAAAAGCGGATAGGCATGCGAAGGGGGGAGCACACTGAAGAGATCTGGAAGCCCGCTATAGAAGAAGGAGCTCCATGGCCAGAGAAATGCTATTTGAACTCTTCCGGGGATCCAAGTGCATGCATAGATGGGTGTGTGTGTATGTGTATGTGTGTGCACCCACCACAGTAAAAACACCAATTAATACCACTTCGTAATATTTCCATAATATACTGGCAGATATTATTCAGTTCAACAACGTTTTTTTTTTTTAAAGATTTTATTATTTGAGAAAGAGAGAATGAGAGATAGAGAGCACGAGAGGGAAGAGGGTCAGAGGGAGAAGCAGACCCCCGCTGAGCAGGGAGCCCGATGTGGGACTCGATCCTGGGACTCCAGGATCATGACCTGAGCCGAAGGCAGTCGCTTAACCAACTGAGCCACCCAGGCGCCCAATTCAACAACCTTTGTTGAGTATTTACACAGGATACAAATGAGGTTACACACCAGGGATAAAGAGGTGAACAGACCCTGTGGCTACCTCCTTAGGGCTTTTATTGTAATGACGGAAACACATGCCATAAAATGGGGTTTCTATTCCGAAATGTAAGCGATACCATTTATTAGATATACAGACATATGCATATACATATATTTATATGTGTAAATATACAAAATAAAGAGAAAACTTGGCTCAAAGACTATCCACAACACTCACTATACTAATTGCTTTGAGCAGGTGAAGGCAGAAGGGAAATGGGTCTGGAAAGAAGATTAAAGGGGACTTCAGCTTTGTCTGTTAAACTCAATTTCATTTTGCTTAATTAAATATGTGTGTGCATGTATATCACCAATGCTTAGAAATGAAATGTTAATATTTGTTAATTCTGGATGGTGGGCACACATACATGGGTTTGCTGCATTAATCTTTGAGATGTTCTGTATTCGTAAGACTTTACATAAGTAAAGAGGAGGGACAGCGACTGGACGAGGGCCTCGGTGGGTGGTGAGGATGGTGCCCCTCATGCAGGGGTCTCATGCAGCACTGACATGTCAGCTCCTGGAGAACAGGCACCTCTGCAGGGATTTAACTGGAGGGTTCAACTACAGTTTTATGTGGTTCTAATCACGTACATGTTAGCTGATAGAGAATATTGCTTCAAAAGAGAAGCAGTCATCACAGAGTCACTCTTCATTAAGAATTATTTTTTTTAAGATTTTATTTATTTATTTGACAGAGAAAGAGAGCACAAGCAGGGGGAGCGGCAGGAGGAGGGAGAGGGAGAAGCAGGCTCCCCGCTGAGCAGGGAGCCCGACGTGGGTCTCGATCCCGGGATCCTGAGATCATGACCTGAGCCGAAGGCAGACGCTTAACGACTGAGCCACCCAGGCGCCCCAAGAATTATTTTGTAATCAGATCAACAGAGCATGGTTGTGTGCTCACCACTAAAATATAAGAATGCTTATCTTCATAGAAGCCTTCATTTCAGCACTGATTGCTCTGAGTGTAAAGTTATCTACATTTCATATTTCCATCCTATTTTTTGTCATTGATGTGACTGCTATTTAAGTATTTTTTGCTAAAGAGATCAGAAAACAATCAGGTGGGCAAGTCATTACAGAGTAGATTTAGTTTCCGTTGGGTTTTACTAGGTTCACCCACCAGATCCTACTTTCCTTTAGAACATCCCCCAAATCTGAAAGATGTTGCTGTGGGCTCGTGTAAAATGAATAGAGCCATAAATCCCATTTGAACATCTGTTAGAAAATTATTTTTTACCTAGTTTGTCAGTGTCATAGTAACAAACACTAGCAAAACTCCTAAAACATCCTAAGTGCTTTGAGGGCACCTGGCTGACTCAGTCGGTGGAGTATGTGACTCTTGATCTCAGGGTTGTGGGTTCAAGTCCCATGTTGGGTGTAGAGATTACATAAAAAAATAAAATCTTTTTTAAAAAAACATTCTAAGTGCTTTGAATGGCAAGGTAGATTGATAAATCGCTTACAATTCCTTCTATTTTTCTAGATTACTCAAAATGTCAAGAATGGACATTTTTAATGGGAAAGAACTTTATTTTTTTTTCTAAATTCCAAGTGAATGCTCTTCTTTTCTACCTCCAAATGACTGTCACGTGGAGGATTTGTCATGAACAATCAGTATTTTATCCAAGGTAGGGATCTCATGCCCTTGTACCTGGCTCTCTGGGTACCCCATTCATTCCTCATCAGCTCTGGGCACAGTGATATCTATGTTTTGCTCAAGAAAGAGTGGACTATTGACTTTACTCAGTCCCTTTGTCCTAATATTTAACCTCCAACATTTTTGTCATTGGAAAGACTTCTGGTATAACATTTAAAGCTCTCCTGTGTGAATATTTACTAGAAAAGTCTGTTTGGAGATGCTTTGGTAAGATTCAGGTGAGTTGTCAGTTCGATGGTTTTAATATTGATAGGTTGCTACAGAAATTTAGAAAATGCATATGACCCAAGCTCCTCATTCCTAGAGCAAGGACTTTGCTCTTTGCCCTTGGTTCCTTTACTCTCCCAATACCCACCTGCTAAAGACAAGCGGGTTAGCAGACTCCAGAGTGTAGCTGGATAAATAGTACCCACAGTGCAGCAGAGCAAAGCAACAGTTCCCATTGAACACCTCTTGGCATGTGAATTGTGGCTTTGATGCTCAGGGTCACAACACTGACCTTCCTGGGAAGGACCCAAGCTCATCCTCACCATAAGTGAGTGTGGCATTCCATGGCCACTTAGTGACTGGATGGATAAAGGCATGAATGGATTACAGCATGCATAATAAGAAGCCATTGAAGAAGGTTTACATGAAAAAAGTTAACTTAAAAAAACTTTTTGCTAAAATTATCTTTATTAGGATCTGGCAGACCACCACCCCTACCTTGACCTCTGAATAAAGAAACAGGAGAGTGGTAAAAGAAACTATTCCTGTAAGACTTTTCCAAACCATCCATACCAGGTACAAAATCAAAACCCGGAAAATAAATGTTTAAACCAAAAAAGAATTAAAATGTCACACCCCCACACTTCATCCCGGCCACCCAGCCTTTCCTGTCAACACCACCCATTGAGTGAAATGATGTCACATGGCACAAATCCATAAATCCTGCTTAATCCATGTGTAAGCTTCTTAAAGATAAGAGAGATTTCCTTGGCCTCTCCAGTCTTTGGCCTGGTGTGCAATGTACCAAACACTCAAGGAAAACTTGCCTGTGAGTTTCTCTTCTTTCTTTCTTTTTTTTTAATTTTTAAAAATCTTATTTAAATTCAATTAATTAACATAGTGTATCATTGGTTTCAGAGGTAGAGTTCAGTGATTCATCAGTTGCATATAACACCCAGTGCTAATTACACCACGTGCCCTCCTTAATGACCATCACCCAGTTACCCCATCCCCCCACTCTCCTCCCCTCCAGTAACCCTCAGTTTGTTCCCTAGAGTTGAGTCTCTTAATAATAAATAAAATAAGTCTCTTATTTTTCCCTCCTTTCCCCTATGATCCTTTGTTTTGTTTCTTAAATTCCACATATGAGTGAGATCATATGATACATGTCTTTCTTTGATTGACTTCTTTCGCTCAGCATAATAACCTCTAGCTCCATCCACATCGTTGCAAATGGCAAGATTTCATTTTTCTGATGGCTGAGTAGTATTCCATTGAGTTTCTCTTCTTTCTTGACCCTCTGAGGTAATACCTAATTAACTGAGTATAGAGCATTAAAATGACAATTTAATTCGACTCATCGTGTTGAGTGAAAAATGTACTACCTAGGGTAAACACTGACTTTAACTTATAGGCTAACCTGCTACCTCAAACTCTAGAGATCAGAAGAAGGGCTGTTACTCCCCCTGGGGGAGACGGGGAGAAAGCTCCTAGAAGCCAGGAGAGGGGAGCAGATGGGGCTGGCCTTCAGGGCGGAGAGCCACGGTGCAACCACGTGGGGAGGTGGGAGGGGGCGGGAGGGGGCGGGCCCCAGCCCGTGCTGGGGAGAGACAGAGGCCAGGTCCAAATGAGAGGGATATTTCAGCACATGTCACAGACTCGGAATTTCATTGCATTTGCAGTAGGGCGTCGCAGAAAGTTTTGAGGAGATGCCATAATCCGATCTGTACTTTAGGCAATTCAGCATCTCAACGACAGACTTGCGGGCCAAAGACAGACCTCAGAGATCTGCTAAGGAGCCATTGCAATAGTTAAGAGAGAATATATCAAAAGCCTACACTTGGAGAGGGGAAAGAGGGTTAAAAATGTTCAAGAAATTCCAGGAATAGAATTTCCATCGTTTGACAAACACCTAGGGGAAGCTTCACGGACTCTCACATTTGAAGTCTGAGCCACCGAAGGACTGCAGGGCGGGCAGCAACAGGTGATCAGGTGGAGGAGGCTCTGCGAGGACCCAACAGGGCGTCGGCACCTGGAGCCGGGCACCCATGTGTGCACCCTCCTGGCGGCTGGCAAACAAGTTCCCATCTCCTGAAAGAAGCCAGGCCAGACCACAGTTTGGAAGTCAAACACCTAGAAGCAATAGTCGAAATCATCAAATTGGATGAGATCATAAAAAGGGGGGATCAATTGAGCAGAATTGGGAGCCCGTTTGCAGGGGCCACCTGCATTTAAGCAGCTAGGAGTCTAAGAAGATTGAGCAAAGGGAAATGAACAGGTGCGTGAAAGAAGTTAAGGGAAGCGTAGAGCCCAGGCCAGAGAAGGAGGAACTGCAGGGGGGGAGGTCCACACCCTCAAGTTCCTACAGGGATGCAGGGAGAATGAGGAGAGAGAGGCAAATAGGTAGGTGGTCCCTCCATATATATATCCCTTTGGAAGTGCAGGATGAGGGATAGCGGCCCAATTCTAAATTCAGGTGACGAGTGAATGAAAAGAAGGTCAAGATTCTCTTTTAAGGATTTCATTAGTGTGGAGGAGAGAGAGAGGAGCTTGAGGGGGGAGGAAATGGCGGGCAGCTGATCACCTCTAGAGAAGGTTTATGGGTATATGTAAGTTGATGACAGGTGGGAAGCAGCGCAGGAGGACTTTAAGATGGAAGAAAGAAAAAGCATGGGACATGCTTTAGAAGTGAGTTGGGATCCTTTTCCAAAGGACGAGGAAAGGAGAGGGAATTAGGTACCCATCAAGAGAAAATGCGAGGTGAAGGAGAGCAGACGAGGCTGGCCACTCTCGGGTCACCCAGGCCCGCTTGGGGACACAGGTTTGGCACTGGGTTCTCAGGAGCGTATTCAGGGCCTCGGGCCCTGCCGCATCAAAATTGCGGGACCATGATGCCAGCGCAATTTCAAAAAGCCAGTTAAGGACTTCGGTCAGGGCTGAGCAAACGGTGTCAACATCGAGGTCAGGGATATGGAAAAGATCAATCAAGCTGCCAGAGTCGGGGGGGGGAGGGGGGTGTCAAGGAGAGTCACACCTGCACTTTGGGACCAGATAATAGTTCCTTGGAACAAGCAAATCTCGCTAATGGAGTGAATCGGCCCTTCTGGCCTGAACTGCTTAACCCTGAGCTGCCCAACCCCCCCCCCCCCCCCCCCCCCCCCCCCCCCCCCCGCCCCGCCTGCTTCCTCCGGAGACCTGGGCCTCGGCGGGGATGGAGGTTACCCTGCCAGTAACCACGAGATTGAGAGTCAGTGAAGCGCCCCCTGCTCCTTCTGCACAGATGAGAATAACAGTGCATCCCCGCCCCCAGATTTCGTTTTACGGCTGAAATGAAATACAACTTGAAAGTATTTAGCTCGCAGCAAGTATTCAATGAAGGTAGATCTCCTTTCCTTCCTGCCTTTGCATTTACAGAGCTTATAATGAGAGCAAAGAAAGGAGAAAACAGAAGGGGGTGAAAAGCCACAAAATCCCAGTTATAAAAGAAGTAAGTCCAGAGCACATCATGTACAACACGGTGACTATAGATTATAAAACTGGATCATAAATTTGAAAGTTGCTAAGAGGGGGCACCTGGGGGGCTCCGTCGGTTAAGTGTCTGCCTTTGGCTCCGGTCCGGATCTCAGGGTCCTGGGATGGAGCTCCCTGCCCAGCAAGGAGTCTGCTTCTCCCCCCTCTCTGCCCTTTCTCCCCGACTTGTGCTCTCTTTGTCTCTCTCAAATAAATAAATAAAATCTTAGGGGGAAGAAAAAGGTCGCTAAGAGAATAGATCTTCGAAGGTCTCATTACAAGAAAAAAAACCTGTAACTAGGGGTAGTGGTGGATGTTAAGTGAACTTATTGTGGTGATCATTTCAGAATAGATATAAATAATGAATCGTTATGCTGTATACCAGGAACTGATGTAATATGTCTATTATACCTCAAAAAAGCTCTTTCGGGTTTTTTTTTTTAATAAAAAAAGAAAAAGAAGAGGAAAGAATAAGAGCAGCTAATGTTTGCCTTCTGTCTCTCTTACTAATCTCTGGTCTTGGGCAATTTACTTAACCTCCTGTGCCTTGGTTTCTTCATCTGTAGAATGGAGGTAATACTAGTGATGGAGTAATAGGGTAACAACAAAGAGGGTGGTAAAAATAAAAAGAGGCAATGTGCTGTGAAATGCCTGGGACGGTGCCCGGCACATAGCAAGTGGCTGTATTCATGTTAGCTGTTCCTGGTTCTGCACTTTTGTTGGTGCCAGGATGATAAGAAGTGCTTTCCGCAGGGTGAGAGCGGCGCGGCCCCTCTCAGGAGCCTTGGCTCGGGTTGCTGTCCACATAAACAGCAGCTGCCTGGAGCCCCCACGTGGGAAGGGCTCTCGGCACCCGCTCGCCCTCCATCCTCAGGACACACCTGCGAGGGAAGTGCTATGACGAGCTCCTGGTACCTTAGATGACCCTGGGGGCAGATGTCTGCAGAATTCTGAATTTTGTTTGGATTTTATAAAAGTAACGCAGTGCCTCTGTTACGAACACCCGGCAGAGTCAGGGGTGGGATCCTAGAAGCAAACACCAGAGTATTTCTGCAGCTAACGGTGCAGATACTCACCCCTGGTTGGAGAAATAATGACTGTAAATATCATCGAATCAGCTCAGATCTAGTTTTACTCCAAATGAGTCCATGCAAAACTCAGGAAAAACCTCTCCAGTCATGGAGCTCTTCGGATTCCAGAACTGGGGAGGAATTATTTTCTGCATTTTGCACACAAGGAAACTGGGGCTTAGAGACATTAGTCTGCCAAACATCCGACTGCCAGCAAATTACAGAGCTGGGGTGTCGGACTCAAGTACTGACACTGGATTTCTTTTTTTTTTTATTTTTAAGATTTTATTTATTTATTTGAGAGAGAGTGTGTGCATGCACTCACGAGCACAAACTGGGGGAAGGGCAGAGGGAGAGGGAGAAGGAGACGCCCCCCTGAGCAGGGAGCCGGACACGGGGGCTCCATCCCAGGACCCTGGGATCATGCCCTGAGCCGAAGGCAGACGCTTAACTGACTGAGCCACCCAGGCGCCCCTAGATTTCTTGATCTTAATCTCTATACCACATTCCTCCAGGGAAAGGAAGAAAAATAAGAAAGTGGCAACTAGGTCACTTCTCAAATCCAGGGCAAACGTCGAAGCCAATGGCATTAATCGTGGCCACGAGGTGGTCTAAGCACCTTATACAACAATGTCACTTAATATTGACATCAAACCTGTGATGTGGGCACTATCCCCATTTGACAGGTGAAAACGGAGGCTCACAGAAACCAAGAACTTGCTCAGGATCTTACAACGAGGAAGGGGCGGGCTGGCTCCCAGCCCTGTGGTCACCGGCCCCTCCCAGTCAAGCGGCCCCTTCTGCCCTTAAAGGGACGTCTGCTTCTCTTTCCTGCCATTCCTGGTTCTTTCGTCCTTTCCCTCCTATTTGTTTCTTCCTTTGTAAGCTTGGAAACTGCATATGTCTGATGGATCATGGAGGGCTCACTCAGCACTGGCTCACCGTAGCCCTCGACAAATACTTCTTGGATGGATGGATGGATGGGTGGATGGATGACTTTACCAAGACAGCTGTGATGAGACACTTCTCCGGAAACTCCTGAGTTTTCCGCCCCACCCCTCCAACACCACCTTCCACTTTGCCAGATGGGTCAGAGGCTGGACCAGAATGACCGCGTGCCCTAGTGTGCCCGAGACTCTCCAACTTGATCCTGTTGTCCCAGCTTGATATTAACAGCATCCCCTTCACTCTCAAAAGTGCCCAGTCAGGGCAATAAAGTCTTCATGTAAGCAGAGGATTTTGGAACTCAACAAGGCAAGCCCTGACAAAGATAGTATGAAGCATAGCCTGCCTCTCCTCACTCCTACACCCACTGGGCTACGGGTAGGGAGCAATGGAGAGGTGGAGAGAGCTCACATGCAGACACAATCTGAGTAAGGTGGGCCCAGCACCAGCCTCCCACCAGCCTCCCAGAAAGAGGAATGAGAACTGCACCCCACCCCAGGCCATCATCAGGGAACCCCAGCAACAGAAGCCCAGCAATAGAGGGAACCCTCTGCTGACAGAGCCCCCCACTCCAGCCCAGGCTGTTGCCCTACCAATCTCTGAGGACCCCAGAGGAGCTCATGCTTCTATCCAAAATCTTCCCAGAAGCTTTATATGGGGTGCAGAAGCAGAGTTGAGGGGCCTAGGTGCACAAGACAAGGGAGACAGAGAGAGAGCACTGTGTGGGCCAGACAATGAGACCCAGGAACACTACAGCGGCCCTCCACAAGCTCCAGTGCTTTCTGGCCACCCCTTCAGCCACCCCTGGGAGAAAATGAGGGTTCGATCCTGAGAGTACACTGAAGCCCACAGTGATGGAAGCTACTGAGTCGATGAGGTCAAACTAGCTGGGCGACCACATCCAGCTTTCCACATTACACAGAAAGGGGGCTCAAGGTAGAAATGAAGATATAGCAGAAAAAGAAAAGAGTACATTTTCATACCTCTGACTCTGGTGGCCGTATACTGATTTTGAATACTGTCATTTTTAATGATTACAGTATTCTATTTTGTGGTTCTATTATAATTTATTTATTTAATTTTTAATTTAATTTATTTTTTTATTTTTATTTAATTTCCAATCATAGATTATTTGGATTATCCCATGCTTTCATTATTATAAATGATACCGGGACAAACACCTTAGTATGTGCGTCTCACTAATTAATAAATCTGCGTTAGCCAGCTCTCACGACATGAGGTCACTTGAGCAATGTACGGAGAGGCCCCCCTGGCAAGGAAATGGGGCGTCCTGCCAAGAGGCCCGTGAGGGAGGCAGTCAAGGCTTCAGACGCTGCAGCCCCAGCCGACATCCCCAATTCACCTGTTAAGGACCTCGCACCGGAACCACCCAGCTAAGCTGTTACCAAATCCTGCCCACAGAGACCGTAAGATATAGGTGTTTATGGTTTTCAGACACTAAGTTTTAGATGAATACGTATTCAGTAATAGGTAATGTGTATGTATGTTATACATATAACACATACATATATACGCATATATACACACACACGTACATACACACAAACACAAAAGCACATACACTTAATTCCTACAAATAGAAAAACAGGATTCGTGGGTCATAGGATATAGTCTTTTCAAATGTCTCAGATACACATTATCAAACCACTTTCTAGAAAGACTGTGGATTTGCACTCTGACAGGCATGTACAAGAGCACCCATCTTCAGGATGCCTGCCAGTGCTTGGTATTATCGGTCTGGTGTCTCCATAAACACCGGAATGAAGGAGAAGAGGGAGCTTCATGGACGTACAAGAAGCCAGCAGAACCACATGGGGCTGTAGTCTCGAAACTTCAGAGAAGACGCTCCTGGAGACAGATGCTCATGAAATTAGGATGAGATCTCCCTCCTCTTCTAACCTCAAGCCTCACTCTTGGGACAACACTTGCTGAGCAGGAAATGTTTAATGACTACTTAGAACAGCCACAGGCAGTCCTCGGTGGTCAAGCCAAGGACTTTCTGCCCTTGTTCTCCAGAGTCCGTAAGTCAACCAGTTGTTTTGTAAAAACGTGTAAGGTGCCTTAGTGCACAACTCCTCACACCCTGGCTCCTGTGAAAGAAACCCCCAGGCTGGGACGAAGCAGGACTGCTGGACGCAGGAGAGGCAGGGCCGTCTGTATAGAATGCTATTGACAAAGAAGGCTGGGCTGCACATTTGCTGGCTAAATCCAACAGTCCATTGGGCTGTTCTAAAACATTTCCCCACATTGCCATAAATGGGTAACCACTTCCTAGGAAATGCAAAAGAAAGGCTTATTTTCTCACAAAACTGGAACACCGGGTCTCTTGGCGAGGGTGGTTTTTATTTTGTTTCTTGTTTGATTACATATTGCAAGCAGCTTCCCAGAGCACGGGAGGGACTTGAATGCTGAGTACGTGAGGCACTGCCTTCCTCCCTCTTCGCACTCCATGTCCATTGACACATCAAACAGTGCTTTGCACACAAAGTACAAGATGCACAGGCATGAAGAGGAAGTCTGTGTGTGTCGGCGGGCAGGTGGGGGCAGCTGGGATGATGAAAGGATGGGCCTAAGTCAGCCTCGTAAAATTTACTGAGAGAATTAAGTTGGCAATTACACTTACGATTCTTTTTAGCACATTTACGAAGTCAGCTTCATCCTTCATTACTTCTTGTTTCCATGGCCTCTCTTTCAAATAACTTAATATAGCAAAATGCATTGACTAATAAAGCACATACCTTGAAATTACCAAATGCTATCATTTTGTCATATTGGCTTCAGATTTTTCTATCATAAAATTGATAGAAATTACTGCGTTAAATGTCCTTTGTTCCCCTCCCTGATCCTGTCTACTTGCTGCCTCCCCAGAGGTGAGCACTATCATGAAGTTGATGTTTTGCTTTCTAATTCCTCCTTTATTTCTACACACACATGTTCACAAACAACATACATGATTGTTTTTGTGTGAATTTGTATGCATTTATACTTCTTTAACTTGCCTTATTCACTCATTCAGGCCACAGCTCTGTTGCTCAGGCTGTGAACTGCATTAACTCCTGAGGTTCCGTTCACACAGGCCACTAGGAGAGTGGCTCCCTTGGGGGTGTGCAGTATGTAGCCCTGCACGCCACATTCTGTTTTGAGATATGTGGTTGGTTCACGAGAGATCTTGCGTTCATTTTAATTAGCCTATAGTTTTCATCATGTGGTTGTGCCACATTTTATTACTGATTTCCTTAGGGGAAGACATTTTGCTATTGCAAACAGTGCCAGAGAACACCCCCTACACATGTCTTTGTAGGTACTGGTACCCAAATATCTCTGGGGAATCACCATGCTTTATTCTGAGGTAATTGTGATTTTTTTAAAAAAATGATCCTACTGAACATTATAAGAAAAAGACAAACTTGGTAAAACTTACAATATTTATTAGTATGAATCAGTGTGTGTTAAACCCCAAATAACATATACAATTGGGTGATGTTGAGGGCAGTGCCTTACTATAGAATACAAGGTGGAAAGGTCCTAAATGTCTGCAGCAGCGTCTTCTATATGTGAGAACTGGGTCCAGCCCAGCCAGAAGCCCTTTACAGAAACACAAGAAAAAGGAACGGTTTACACGACAGAGCACTGACATTGGATCACTGGGTTTGCTTTCAACAGTGATGGCTGAAAAAGTAGACCCGATGCTGAATGGATCTGAATACAGCTCAGAGCCCTTTAGTTTAGAAGCCAGCTTATAATTCAACTGGCTGCGAGCATTGCAGCAAGTGGACTCCTGTAAGAGGAGCTCAGCCTCAGCCAGCGGACGCCATAGTCCTTGACCGTCCAGGAAATACCTCCATCATCCAAACCTCCCTCGGCAAATGAATTCAGTTCTCCTGGCGGCACAGCCCTTCCGTTGGCTAAAAGTTAGTATTAGGTCTTCAACCTTCTCTAGCCTGCAACGTAACGTCATCTTGAGCACCCTGATGTACCATTTCAAGTATAAAATGGCAAGTCAATTATGTACCGACCTAAAATGTGTGCACGACTCCAGCGCCGCCTTAGGGAGTCCCACAGGGAAATGACCCCTATGAGAACCCAGGCCTACACGGTACAACACACAGGCATGAGCCAGACTCAGCCAGTGAAATGGATTACATGTCGGTGTCACAAACACAAAATCATATTTACACATATACATGCCCATGGAAGGAAAGAAAACAGAGGGGAAAAAAGCAAAGTTTGGAAAATTATGTGAAGGATTTACATCACATGAAACTACTTGACAGTTTGGAGCAATAGTCATTTCCAGGCTTTTACACGATATTACATGGTTAGAGTTCAATGATCAGAACAGCCAGAAAGTCATTGCAAGGCAAAATAAGGGAAGAAAGAAAGCTTCATTGCGGACGAGGCTAGAGCGTCTATCTGCAGAGGAGACTCCATGTTTATACGAATGCATGTGTGCCCAAGTGCTGTGTACTCTTTCCCCAGTTGCTCCGAGTAGTGATTACATACATACTGTCATCTGACTGGCTGGAAGAATTAAGGCAGTACAGAAAGGTAAAAGAGTAGTTCACACCCTCAATGTGCTTCTGAAATAAGACCATGGGTTCATTCGTGGGTTGCTCGCTCCACGTGATTAACATCAGCTCTTTCATGCACGATGCAACCACTAAAGACCCCGCCCAGGGCTTGGAACCCCACGGGGACGTGGACCGCCTTAGCTGGGCAACCTGAGCAGCTGTCTAGAGATAGACCAAGGTTCTCAGGGACAGCTGGAGGAGGAAAGGTTCCACAATGAGCCTTCATGCCCCCTGGAAAGAGGTCATTCAATTTGCAGCCCCAATTTTTTAACTTTCAGAAGAGGCATGATCATCACTTGGCCCGCAAGCAGAATCATGCTGGCTACTAGTAAAGTTGACAACGTGGAGAAAACCCTAAAAAGCCTGGCAAGGGCTCTGCCAAGATTTCCAAATGCCACTTTTAGCAGGTTTTGAGTGCCAGTCTCGGAGAGCTAAGAGGCAGTCTCGAACCAAAAATAAGTGCTTCTGGCCTGCACATCCTAAGATTGTCAAACTATTCTTGCAAGCTGAGTGAAGCAGGGGCGATAGCCAATTGACAGCATATTGTTGAGTTTTTCTAGAAAAAAGCAAACCCTAAATCTGTGATTTCCACCTGTTTTCTTGATTGCAGTCCCCATAAAGGAGTGTAAACTTGGCCGTGACTCTCTCAAGGACCCTTGCTTTTCGTTGACGGCGATCTCACTGTCTCTACCTGTCCGGAGCAGGGTGAGCACAGCCATGACAGGCCTCCGAGGAACCAGCTCACACTGAGTTACTGGGGTCTTGAGGTCTTTTGCTGGCTGACCATCTCTCTCCTGGCTTTCATGTTATAGGTTTTCTATTAATGTTTGCTGGGCCTTGAATGTTGCTAGCCAAAAAGGTACTGGCTGGCCCTATTACCATGCTGCCTGATTAACCATTCCTGGGTCCAGCCAGTCTTGAGTTTCCTAGTCCCCACCGAAGGCACGGATCCAAATGCACTTTAAGAATTTCCTCCCAATATAAGCCTTAATAGGAAACCAACTGCTTCTTGATCCCAGGTATTTATGGAAGTTAGAATGGTAATAAGATTTGGATTTCTAGCGGAAATAGCTTTTCTTCCCTTCTGTGCCTTCTTTCCCTTTCCTTCCATTGGATTATTCAGACATCTTTCATCAATTGAGCAGACAGGGAATCTAGAAAGGAAGGTTTTATGAAAGCCTACTCTCAGCTAACTAACGGGCATTCCAGGGTTGGACCTCTGGTGAGTCCTAACTCCCAGCTGCCCAAGCTTGGCATCTTCTAAAACACTTTCTCCAGTTTTGTAATTGGGGGGTGGGGGGTGGGTCTCAAATCTTAAGGTGCTTCCTCTGGCTGGCTTTCCTGTAACCTACTGATTGATAGTATTAGAAATTTGCTCTATGATTTAGACTCAGACATCCTCCGGTTAGTTTTCCCCCTGGATATGACACCATGACATACTGTCTTAGTAAAACCCTACTCCGTGAATTAATCTTCTGTAAGAGAGTGGGAATTTATTATTGTGGAGATGATGCATCCCAGGCAGTCTCTGGAAAATATTTATACCCTACATCTGTCACCGTTTATGCAGTAACTACTCAAATGACTCTTTCAAACTAGGCCTCCTAACCCCCAAACTGCATGAACTATCTTAGTCAGATTTGATTTGTTTATATATGACTAAAACTTACAAAAACAGGCATCAAGTACAAGTCAGAGATGTAGACAACAGTTTCTAATACATCTTTCTCCACTTTCATAATGGCTCAAGTCTCTAGCTTGAGTGATGATCCAATTACACTCCACTGAAAGGTAAATGGAATGAAATGAAATGAAACTTTCAGTGAAGTCTGGCCAGGTAACACAGGCCGTAGCACCGTGGAACTTGCTGAAATTGGGCTGAGGAACCCAGGAAGTCAGAAGGGAAGGCCACCTCAGAATCTCACACACAGATAAGCCAGTGAGACGGCTGTACAAATTGAAGAATATTTTAAGGTTTTTAACAACAACAAAAAACTCAACTGTACTTATTACCTAACATCTGTTTCCTCTCATGTGCATTTCATACACCAAAGGCCATTTTGTGGTAGTATGGCGGATTTTTCTGGAGTTTTCTAAAAGCCTTTTCCAGGGACATTTCCTGCCCCATCACTTCAGGTCTTCCAGGATGCCAAGCCAGCATCTCTCTTCTCCCTACGTGGGGTGCCAGGCTGCCAAGAATGGGAGGTTGGCTCTGGCTTCTTCAAGTACAGCGGACCATGGCCCATGGGTCAGCAGCACCGCCGGCTGGCTTGCGTGGCTTGCTTCCCAAGTTTGATTGCTCCATTGTTTCCATTTTCATGGGGGTCCAAGGGTGGGATCTGGCGACCTGGAACAAAGAGGAGGCCAGTATTGAGTTCCTTTTTTCCAGTCGACACCATATACAGACCGTGACCCTGCCTCAACACCTCCACTTAACATTCGGGTTATACAGGAAGTAGAGGGGTCCAGGAATGGCTCTTCCTCTCTCCCTCCCTCCTTCCTTCGTTGCTCTGATGCCTGAAGTCAAACTCCTGTTTGGGAAGTTAGGGAAAAGTAAAAGCAGCTTCCTGATACCATGGATTTCCCTGGATTTGGAACCCCACACTCCTGAGTAAGGGGGCAAGTCCCCATCCACCTTCTGTGCATCAGCATCAGCTCGCTGCTTCCTCCCCAGCCCTCCCCCAAGTCTGCCCCACCGCAGTGAGCTGCCTCATGGCAGCAGGGCTTCTGTGGTAAGCATGAGGACTCAGCTTTCTCCTTCTTCAAATAGAATTACAATCTTCCTAGTAATACCATTTGTTAACACTCAGCTCCCCATCCCTCATCCTGCCGTGCACGAGTCATCTTATTTTTTTTTTAAGATTTTATGTATTTATTTGACAGAGAGAGATAGCGAGAGAGAGAACACAAGCAGGGAGAGTGGGAGAGGGAGAAGCAGGCTCCCCACCGAGCAGGGTGCTCAACTTGGGGCTCGATCCCTGAACCCTGGGATCATGACCTGAGCCAAAGGCAGACGCCCAGTGACTGAGCCACCCGAGTCATCTTATTTTTACTTAATGTAATTTAAAAAATTGTCCTAGAGTCTCTGTAAATAAAGGCAAAGTAAAAATTAAGAAGGCAATGGTGGAGGATAGGGAGGTGGTAGCTAAAGGGTATGGAGTTTCTTTTTGAGATGATAGAGATATTCTGAAACGATTGATGAACAGCTCTGTAAATATACTAAAAACCATTGACTTGTACACTTCAAACTGATGAAATGGACAGTATGTGAGTTTTATCTCAATAAAGCTTTCTTTGGAAAAGGCAGTGGGATCTGGAAATAACAAATATGTGTTTAGAACTTCACCATTTTCAAAGACGTTCCGGGCACTTAAGGCTGTGAGGTCAGTGTGATGGCTACTATTCCCATCATTTTACTAAGTCTCAGAGAGCTCAGGTCACAGGCTGCAGGTCACGTCCACAGTAAAGTGGCGCAGGTGGTTCTTTGATTACCTTGTTTTCTGACGGGTCCCAAAGCCTGTGTATTTCCCGCTGCACCAGGTTCACTCTCTCTGCTACATTTCTATCCCCCATAAAAAGCATGCAACACTAGCTCTAAAATAAAGGTTGTTAAGTATATATACACAATGGAATATTATGCAGCCATCAAAAGGAATGAGATCTTGCCATTTGCTATGACGTGGATGGAACTGGAGGGTGTTATGCCGAGTGAAATAAGTCAATCAGAGAAAGACATGTATCATATGACCTCACTGATATGAGGAATTCTTAATCTCAGGAAACAAACTGAGTGTTGCTGGAGTGGTGGGGGGTGGGAGGGATGGGGTGGCTGGGGGATAGACAGTGGGGAGGGTATGTGCTATGGTGAGCGCTGTGAATTGTGCAAGACTGTTGAATCACAGATCTGTACCTCTGAAACAAATAATGCAATATATCTTAAGAAAGAAAAAAAGAAGATAGCAGGATGGGAAGAATGAAGGCAAGTAAATTGGAGGGGGAGACGAACCAGGAGAGACAATGGACTCTGAAAAACAAACTGAGGGTTCTAGAGGGGAGGGGGGTGGGGGGATGGGTTAGCCTGGTAACGGGTATTAAAGAGGGCACATTCTGCGTGGAGCACTGGGTGTTATGCACAAACAATGAATCATGGAACACTACATCAAAAACTAATGATGTAATGTATGGTGATTAACATAACAATAAAAATTTAAAGATCAAAATAAAGGTTGTTAAAATCAGCTCATCAGTGTATCAGTTTACTAAGTAAGCAGTCATTAGAAATGGATGGGAAATTAGCTCCAAAGACAAAAGCCTTCAGTGCAAGTGGAGGTTACCTCCAGACTATACAGAGAGTCAAATCATCCTGGGTACTTCTGCACCAGGGGCAGAAATAGTTAATGACCAAGGTATGGTGCACTGTGTACACTGGGTGCCACGGCCACTCATCAAAGCTCAGGCAATAGAGATTAAGGTCATTGGCGGGTATCCAAAATCCAAAATTAATTGTAGAGCTCTTCATTTGAGGATGAAGCAGATGAGAAGGTTATAATAATTCTGAAGCCACTATTCAGGCCGCTGCCTGGAAGCCCACAAAGCTAAGCAAAGCTGTCACTCGCTGTTCTCAAAGCAGTTCAGCCCTGACCCAGAAGCAAATGAGAACGGAAGTATATGTACTTTCCTCCTTTGGACCTGCTGTGTTTTTTATTAGTAGTAATTAAGAGGAAGTAAATAAAATGCCTCTTCTACTTTGTCAATCTTAAGCAATGAATAGAGGGGAAAGCTCCCAAGGACTACCAATGCTCTGATTTATTTAGGTCCGATCTTGCCAATCAAGTGTTATTTACTCCTCCAGAGCAAGTGCTGTGTTTTGGAGGGACGACGGTGTCACGTTATATCATTATTTAAATTTGTAAGACTTCAGGTGCCTCCTGAATGTGTTTGCTGCTGCAACAGGGGCTTTGGCTTTTGCATCTGAAATGCTCTGGGACAAAATTATAATTCTGATTGGTGCAAGCTGTGGCCCTAGTTAATAAAGCCAAGTACTGTCCCCTGATAAGTAGTTTTGACAATATCAAAATCAACATCCTACACTAACATCAACTTCGTGCTATTCCTATGTAGTTAACTCTACAGTTAGCCGAAGAGTGGGGCGCCTGGGTGGCTCAGTTGGTTAAGCATCTTCCTTCGGCTCAGGTCATGATCTCAGGGTTCTGGGATCGAGCCCTGCGTCAGGCTCCCTGCTCAGCAGAGAGCTTGCCTCTCCCTCTCCCTCTGCCACTCCACCTGCTTGTGTGCTCTCTCTCTCTCTCAAATAAATAAAATCTTTAAAAAAAATAAGGTTTGCAAAAGAGCATTACGCGTTTAGCCCTCCTATCTGTGACTTATTCTACATGCCTCATGTCATAAGATCTTTCCTAGGAAACGTACCCCAAATACACAGAAAGCTTCTGCATCCAATACACATTGAAGTCACAAGGGTTGAGCGAAAATCTAGAAACCAAGAGCACATGGAACGCACAATGGGAAGGTGAGGGCAGCCTGTCGGCATCCCTCTTTGCCCTGCCTGTCCTCCTCTCTCTCTCCTGCCTCCCACCTCTCTCCTCTGTGGACAATAAGCAAGGCAATGTTTAGGATGCAAGATCCAGTAGACCCAGGTCATGCCTCTAGAAGACTCCTTTCTTACTTGTTTTAAACTGTTAGCTGCGTTTTTGAATCAGTTGTCAAACCTGGCTTTTTAGAGGCACCAGGTCAGTCCTGCTTGTCTTCGGAATATTCAAAATCTCACTTATTAGAACAACGTGTTTCTCAGAGAGTTACAGCAGTTTCCTTAGACTTTGTTTTTCTCCTCTAGTAAAAGGGTTCTGAGATCTGAGAGTCAGTGTTGCAGTTAAGTGAACTTGGACAAGCTATTTAACATCTCCAAGATGGCCTTTCCTCACCGATAAAAAGACCATGAGAAATTAACTGGACAGCCGCTCTGCCTTATCCATCTGTGGCTCTCACCAGTATGGAAGGAACGACAACCATGAACGGGTCCTGGGGGCGTCTCAAGTGGAGTTTGCTTGGGGAGAAGGGTTCAGGTACAAGGGTGGGGACCCATCCTACTCTCCTACAAAACACAACCTGGGATTCCCACTTCAAAGTGAGAAGAAAGGAAACGCTTCCACTTTAAGGTAGAGGTTGAGGAAGGCCGGTCATAACAATGAGACGAGCACCTTAAAACCAGAAGGAAGCCAACAGCGCTGTGAAAACACATGAGCCCCGATCTTGTGATCAGAGTTACTTGGAACGTACTGAAAGGTTAAATGTACTTAGACAAAAGAATGGTTCTGGAAAATGGCCAAGGTGTTTTGTACCCAGGCGATCACACAATTGAATCTGTATTAATTACAGGGGCACAGAATAGGACAAATATTTATACACACACACACACACACACACACACAAACATCTGAAAGGCTCGGAGCATCACCCTCTGCAGGTTTCTACTCTTACAAAACATCCTTTGAGTACACAACCTCCATAAGTCATCCTGGAGTAGAAATCCTAAGCCAGGGTGTTTATTTTAATAACGTTTGGATTGTAGAAGATTCTGCTTGGGAAAAGTTAAAGGACTTTTTTTTTGAAATTCAGTTTTCCTGAAAGTTGACAGCCTAGAGAAAAAGCAGGTTTTAAAAATGATTCCTCGGGAATGCAATATGTGAAAAAACAAACTCCAAGCCTATAAATTTGATCATGGCTCTGGACCGGGGGCTGTCATGCTTTCACACACAACAAAAATAAAACAGTGTGCTTGGCTGCAGCTGTTCTTTTTCCTTGTATGGAGGACAGGCCATTCCCTGTGCGAGCCTGGAGGCCTCCCTGAGATTTCTACTGTTCATATGCTTCTCCCCTTTCACGGCAGGTCAGGATTTACTCAGCTCAGCTACCTTCTGTTGGGTGTTAAAAGTGCTGGTACCTGCTGTCTAACTTCCATTTCTTGATCCTGATTTTCTTAATCATCCCAATTAGTAAATTGACCCATAGGACTTGGCAGTATTTACCCCTGATAATGGGTAAGCCTCTCCATTTGGGGGGGGGGGGTGTCTCTGTGGAACACTGCAGTGGTTCACAATCATGGAACACTGCCCTTGGAATACAGAATGAGAGTGGGGGCAGGGGGCCGGGCAAGCCACTTGAGTCATTCTCTGAACTGTCCTTTTGTTGCTGTAAAGAAGATAATACTGGAATTACTAGGTGACCTCGAACGTTAGAGTCTAGACCTGACAAATGAGCTAACATGCTATGTGGGACCAGAATGGCTTAGGAGACACAGAGTGAATGGCACCAGGAGACTTGCAGGAAGTC